GCTGGGCTGAACGTTTTTCGTCCTTTGGGTCAGCTTCAGCTTCTCTTTCGCTGTCAGGCTCCGGCTCGGGGTCATCAACAGGTCTTTTAAAGATCGTTATACTGAGAATGCAGGCATCAGAGGGGAGCTTGGCTACCCGATTGTCCAACGTCCTTACATCCACGTCTTTTTCGATCTCCTGCCATTTCTTGACATAAGTCCAAGTACTCCGGATGACGTGCTTTGGAAACCTTGTAGCAGGCGTTCTAAAGGTTTTGGGAAAGTGCCCCACGATCATCTGTGGAAAGGAAGGATGCGAAACCCAACCTGGTTTGTTCAAGTACTCCGCCTTTATGCCTAACGGAGCAGCCTCTTTCAGTGCTTTTTCGATCCTGGGGTCGAGGCCACTGCCCGAGGATTCGCCTTCCGGCTCGGATTCTGCTGCATTGGCGTGCCTTATTAGGCCGCTGAACGGGGAAAACCCGATGTTGCCTGGATGACTGGCGAATGAGCCGCTTTCTCATCCTTGGCGGGAACGGCGATTGTACCATCCCCAATTACCGGGACTCGCCCGCGCAGCTTGCAGTAAAGTTTCCGGCCTTCAGGTGTCACGAAGTAAGGCGTCTTCCCTGCGTACCAATGGAAATCGAAGCCCTCATCCATGCATCTCCTACCAACAGAGCACACCGGCGGCGTTGAATCTAGCACGTAGCATTCGAGGATTTTGTTGATTTCAGGGACCTCTAGCTTAACGGCTTCGTTACCTTTTACCGGCCCGTTGGCGGTGATCAAAGAAACAGGACGTGAGGCAGGTTCAATAGGTACGTCGGGGAAGTGAGTTCTGCAGTCCGACTTGCTGATGAGGTCCTCTTCACTTCCGGTATCCGCTAGGAATTCTAAGCCGGGGACCAGACCTGCACATGACGGACGTGCAAGTCGCTCGCACTCCTCGCAGAGGAAGCCTTCCTCCATGCATTCATACCCGCATCCCGCAGGCGTGTCGTGAGTCATGCATTCGATCATGGTGGCAAACTGCTTTGCCCACACAAGAGCCCTTTTCAGATCCTTAGGATTCGAGCGTGGACATGCCTCGACAGTGGGATAGACTTCATCATAAACCCTGGGAAGGTAGGCATGCTTTCTCTGCTTTCCTTCCGGTTCGATGGCAATCATTTCTACGGTGCTGTCAAAACTCACCTTAGGGAGTTCTTGCATGTAGAAGATCGTCTTACCTACCCATGTGCTGCCGGGTCCTTTGGTTGGGGTCTTCCTCCAGTTGTAGATCTTGTTTCCCACAAAAGGGGAGACCGGCAAAACCTGCTCGAGTTTAGCTTGGCTCCTAAGCTTCTTGGGGTTCACTGGACATGAATTGTCAGGAACATACCAATCCGTTCGGTACTTCTTGTGGTGGCGGATGATTTTGTTGCCGGTGAAGTCTACCTCCCAGTAGTCCTCGTCATGTGACGCTGCCATAGCGAGCTTTGGCGAGATCTCAAGATCCGCTGTATTCTCGAACGCGATGGCGCATGCGGCCGTCTTTGGGGCCTTGTCACTTGACTTAGCCCTGGGACTTCTCCCTCTGCGCGGAGCAGGAGAGTTGGCCCTGGGTGACCCTGGCTTTGGAGCTGCCGGGGCTGCTTCGGACTTAGGTGCTGGAGCGGAGGGCTTCTCTATGTCCTTATGCTGGAACCGACATTTATCACCCTTGTTGCAGTTGCCTTCTTTCCAGAACTTACATGTCACGTTGATTTTCTTCTTGGGTTTGTCGCCTTTGGGGGACAATGATCTCTTCTTGTGAAGGAAAGGGCAGTTATTGCCTCGCTTGCAAGTTCCTTTGAGGTAATCATAGCATACTCCCTTTGGGCTAGGTGTCCTAGGTTTGCTGGGAGACTGGGATCTACCTTTGCTGGGTGATCTTGGCCTTGGGCTCTGCGATCTGCCACGGCCTCCTCTTGAAGAGGGGCTGGAAGTTCGGCCCGGAGACTTTGAGGCAGGGGCACCGTACTTATCTCCGTGAGATCTTGCGATGCGGTCACGGTTCTTGCGTTTGCGCTCTCGGGTCAAAAGATCCTTAAGTGACTTCACAAGAAACTTGTACGTGTGCTGATCCGTGCCCTCTGCTGCCCTGTCGTAAATCTCAAGATCGTACTTTAGTCTCTTGGACTGCCTGAGTTCACGAAGGAAAATGTCTCTTAGGGTCGTTTCGTCCGGTGTGTGGCTAGCCCAGACATGACAGATTCCCAGTTGCTAATGAACACTGAAAGGTCGTCATTGATTAACCTTACTTTCAGCAGGTCCTCCACGGAGTACAGTGATCCAACCTCCTCGTTCGTCTTGAAGTACTGATCGAAGAGGTAGAGCACCTGTCGTCCTCGTACCGCCCTGAATTTCGCCGCTTCTGTCTCCTTAAAAATGAGGATTTCTCGGGAGAGTTCTCCCCTAGCGACTTTGGTGAGTGCAGCAAGAAGTTTCGTGTCAAGGGTGAGGAATTTCTCGGGGTCTCGAAGGGATTCCTGCGATGCGTCTTTGTCGTAGGCCTTCATCACCCATTTAAACGCCTCATCAGGTGAATCTGATGCTGCCCTGACCGCTTCCTAGCTGCCGTTTTCCACGAACGATACGACTCTGGACTTTTCCACGAACGATACTGACTTGGACTTGGAAACTCCGGAAGGCTGATCTCTGCTTCTTTCACTTTGGGTTTGTCAGCATCGGTTTTGCTCTCACCCCTTATGTTTCTTAGGCTTTGAAGAATTGCCATTTGGGTCTCTAGGAGACCTGTGTTGAAAGCATCCGTCCCTGGCGTGCCGGAATCGGCCGCTGGAGGGGCCGCTGTTCCTGGCGCTGCCTGGGAAGGTCCTGCCTTGGGGATTGAAGATGCTGTTGCAGACGGAATGGACTGAGCATTCAAACCTCCTGGATTCATTGACTCGAACAGACATCTGGCGCCTTGGGGGATAACGTTCGGCATTGAGAACATGGGCGCTTGAGGAGCTTTGGGGACGACAGAAGGACCTGCAGGGGTACTTGGAGCAGGCACTGGCTGACTCTTTGGAGTAGCTGGATTGTACTGATCCAAGACCTTCTCTAGTGCAGTTTCCGCAGAATCCAACTTGTCCTGAAGCTCTTCATTCTGTTCCCTACATACTGCAAGGGACGCCTCATACTCTTCTTTCTGCCTGTTCCTAAACAACTCAAAGTGTGCTTGGAACTGTTCAACCATGACTTCCTGGGAATTCTCGACGTGCCGTCTCGCCTGTTCTTCGAGGTTCTGTGCAAAGCGTGATTCCGCCAAATGTTGATCCAATGCGTCTGTGACTCGGCTGTTTTGAAGTTCCGCTAACTCTTGGCGCAACCTTTGATCTTCATCATAGGAATGCGCTTGACTCAAAGTCATTTCCGACAACAGGAGCCTTTCGCGATTTGCGGCCTTGTACTCGCTCTGTGCCAAGGCTGCTTGCAGTTCTGCTACCACTTCAAGGTGGTTTCGCTCTGCTCTGTGCTCCAAGTCGGCTGTGTGAATTGCGGAGGCTTCTTGATAGGTCAGCATGTGTTGCCTGTGTCTTGCTTCTGCCTGAGCCTCTAGTTCTCCGACTTCCAGTCTGATCTGGTTAACGTGTACTTCAACACTATACTGTGGTGCGAAGACGTTGAATTGTTGGACTGAGGCTGGTGCCGGGAAAACTAAGCCGGGGGCACCGCTCCCTGTATGGCCACCCGTGACCGGGGGCTGTAAAGGGTTCACGGTGCTTGTAACTGTATCCATACTTGCAGGAATAAGTTCCGGTTCGCTCATGCGCTGATTGATTGTATTGTAACCAACCAGTTGTGACCAGGCCGTAGGCTATACGGCTGATAACCTATAGTTGTTGTAAACCACTGCACGCACGCACTGTTGTATATGTCCGTCCAAGTGATAACAAGCAGCTTGTACCATGCGGTAACTACGCACCTTTTCCTGTTAGAGCACTTGTGCCACAATGCAGTACACACAACATGCTACTTCACACGTGCACAAATTACACCTTTCCAGGGGCCGCGGAATGTTGCCAACCAAAAGCTAGGGCCCAAATGAATATTCCCACGGCGTACCTCGTACCCATACGAGGGAGGACGCAGAATATCCAGAGGGAGGGCGCCACTCCTCAAAACAAGCGCAGTGTACGGAGTCCAGTCACCGAAGTGAGGACAAAGGCAAGATCCTCGCCAAGCGTACAGATCAAGCCTGAGCAGCCCCTTCACGGGTCGGCTGCACCAGAAAAATTGAGCGCGGGCACCTCGATGAGCGGCGCCACGCTGGGGTCGAAGGCACGGGTGGGACTCCTAGGAGAAACTACCACCTCGGGCCACAACGCCTGGGGTTTAGGGTTTTAGGGTTTAGGGTTTTAGGGTTTAGGGTTTTAGGGTTTTAGGGTTTAGGGTTTTAGGGTTTAGGGTTTAGGCTTTTGAGTGTGGAAGGGCTTCATAGGGCTTATTGGGGCTTTATGGAGTGTCCTCGTGGCTTAAACGGTTGCATGGTTTGTTGGGTGTTTGTTGAAAGGGCTTCGTTGGTCTTGTGTAAGGGTTTTTGTATTACTGAACTCATACTATTACTATTACTATTACTAATACTATTACTAATACTCATACTGATACTAATACTATGACTAATACTATTACTTATCACTGCTTTAAAAGGAGCCTCTAGAGGTGGGATCTACAAGCGCTTGGTTCAAGTTCCACGGTTCAGAGTTGCAGGGCTTAGCTTGGGCTCCATGCGGGGTCTGTAGGGGCTCTATGAAGAAAGTATAGGGGTGTAAAGCTAAGGCAAAAAGGCTTTAGGATGATGTCGGATCTGAGGTCCATAGGGTTTAGGCTGGTGTAATATGCGGGCCTTAATATTTATGGGTTCCTCAATACAAAAATAGTATAATGGGCCCCAAACCCCATTCAAACTATCGAGGCCACTACATTACCTGCCTGAGTTCAATCTGCAAGCCCCAAACTTTGGACCCCCGACCTTCTCATCATGGGCGGCGCGCCTCCGATTCCCATTGTCCAGGAACAGCCGGCCGATCGTCCTGGTAGCACTTTACAGATCATTCGTAGCTAAGTATAGGGGCAGAAGTAAAAGATCTGCACCCATAGCTAGGTATAGCCATAGTGATTCACAGAGCCCCTCCATTTAGGGCTGGAGTATCAAGTAAGGGTGAATAGCTTGGCAAAGGAATCTTGAAGAAACCTTCTACTGGCCCGCAACATAAAACTCTCATGAAAGGACATCACCCATAAGCCATAAGCAAAAAGGGAATCCTTTGGACAGAACTACTTTAGGGGCCTAAAACCTATAGTAACTATAGTACCCTTATAGTAACCCTTGTTCTAACTATTAAGGCCCCTCTACTATCCGCTTCGAACGCAGCCACGGCACTCTCTGCACCAAGCCTGGGGCTAGACGTGCGAATAACAAGCATCAGCGGAGGGAGCTTAGGTGTTGAGGTTGTGGAGCTTGATATAGGGCTAATATAGGGGTTGAGGCTTGGGTCTTATCGTTGCTTGTAAATTAAAGGTTTTTCAAGCGGTCTTGACAACATTATCTAGACAAGTGGGCTCTCGCAAAATGCACAGCATTCATGGGACAGCATCTAATTGACGGTCTCATGTACCTGTTCCAGTAGAAAGACTATAAGAAGTAACAAAACAAAAAACTGGACTGTGACTGCTGCAGGTATCGTCCATCTAGGGGGCAACTTTCAGTATTTACGCTAGCTTGGCGTTGCAGGAATCCTGAACAGGAAATCCCACCAATGAACAACTCAAAGTGGAGAAAACGATGTTGACCGACCCTTTGTCACTGCCGACACCAGTGACCAGTGGCTCGTCACGTCCACACAGACTGCGGATCTTACGTTTTACACGCCACCACAACATTTGTCAATGCTGACCCATATAAAACCCGCTGAATTGGGTTGTGCCCTCTGCAAAACCCAGTAGAACCCTTTAAAGTAAAACCCTTTTATAAACCCTAATTTCCCTAACTGTTGAGAAGTAAACCTCGACTGCATCCCGATCCGACACCCTCAACCCGGCCAGGGTGTTGTTGTTGTTGGCACTTCTTGCTCCTGTCAGCCCACCATTGCCCCCTAGAAGTGTTGTTGTGGTCGATCCCCGCATCCAAACGTCTCTGTGCCGTTCCGCCCCACAACCTCTGGTGTTTTCTGTTTGCCGCAGCCGCACCGGCTGCTATTGGACCCTCTGCAGCAATTACTACCGCGGAGCACAAGGGTCTGGGACGAAACAAAAAAAGCAACCCCGCACGCAGGGGGGCCGACAGCGAACCACCTTCTAGGGGTCAGGCCAGCATCACAAAACATCTACAACAAACAACAGCACCACTTCGCCCTCCAACCGATCCGCCCGCAACCTCGGAAATGAAGCCGTTACATTTCTAAGTCCCAGTCGGACACTCTGGGGCTCGGGCCAGTGCCCCGCTGGTGCCCGGCATTCCGGCGAGGGGCACCCCCGGCGCCCCGGCGGGCGAAGACGCCTTGGCAAGCTTATGCTGTGGGCTGGGGCTGAGGGTTTGGGGTTCTGCGGCTGTTGTAATTTGAGGGTTTAAAGTTTGGGGTTGAGCGCTGTGGGTTTGAGGGTTAGGGAGAGCCTGGATTTGACGAAGGTTACCATTTACCATCGCTTCAGCATTCGCTGGCTTGGAAAATCCACACGGTCTCACACGCAGACCCGTATAGGGTACAGAGGAATAGCTCTACTTTCCTGGTTCAAGTGTTTGGGTACATACTTCGACTGGTATGTTGATCCTTCCCCCGTGTAGTGCTTTTCTGTTGCTGATGAGATGCCATACGAACAACGTGAGCAAGCCGTTTGTAATCACCGTGGTAAGAGCAACTGCTCTGCCAATGGATCATCGAAGCATCAGCAGAAAGCTCCTGCAGGCCTACCGAGAATACAGAATACTTGGAGGGTCGGGGGACTTAGTAACTGGTTATTTTAGGGACTTATAAGTACCAAAACCCCAATTAGGGTCCCTTTTACTAAGTCCCCCGACCCTCCAAGTGCAGGAATGATACTCCACAGAAGCGCAGCAACCCAGCCACAGAGTCGGTCACTGTACAATAAGCACCTTCATGCTCACATAGGGTCTGAAGAACAGTATGCCCGTATAGAATAAACCCAGGCCCTGGGCTATAATCCTTGGTGGATAACATCTTTATGGCTAGGGCCCTACCTACACAGAAGAGAAGGCAATCAAATAGGGCCGGTAAGAATTCTAACTACAGTAGATCCTCCCGGGCCCTGGGCATTTCGCTTACACCCCCAGAGAACCCTCGTAGCCTGGCACGGTACGCTAACACGAAGCTTGGAAAATACTCCCAAAGCATCACGGTTTAGGGTTCAGGGTTTAAGGTTTAGAGCACTCCTAAGAATCCGTCACGGCATAGCCTCACTAGGCAGCGACCCCGTATCAGCGTCCCAGAAGTACCAGCTCAAACCCCAAGCCCTATAAGCCATAATTCGCGCGGCCCACCCGCATTGACGGCTGCAGCAACTTCCCGCTCAAGCCAGGCGCCCTGCAGATGAGCGGCTTGGAACTTGGGAGGGTTTATGGGGTTTAGGGGTTGTGGGGTTTACGGCAGGGATTTAAGGTAAGGCGTACAGGATCAATAGGGCTGGTAAGGAAATCGGGTGGCTATGGCACGTCTCTGGGGTATGAAGACATAACTTCAGAATACTAGTTCATTGTTGGGATAGGATTAAAAATGTACATTTCTATTCCGTATTATATTAGTATTGGGTTTAAGTACCATGAAAATGTGAAATCTTACCCAACTATGACAAAGAATATGGTCTCAGGCTCTAAGGAAGGAAAACCTTCAGCTGCTTCAAGACCACCGCTACCCTGCACTCATATCGCCTACACCATCCTCCCTTCTCTTGTAAAGCCAGTATGATCATAGCATGTAAGCCTTACAAAACCCCAGAGTTATACATATATATATACATATATATACTTAAAACTCTATATATATATATATATGTATGATTATATACAGATGGATAGATACAGGACGAGATCCTCAAGCCTCCATGTATGGAATACCACTGGCCCCAACCCCGCATCATGGTATCTACGCAGCACCTGAAACCCCAGACTTTGGCGACTCTTTTGGGTTTCTTCAGTCGCGCTGTAGCTTATACGTTTGGAAACAATAGTTCAGGGGCCTTAAGAATGAGAATAGGGTGTTGGGGCCCAATATACTATAAGGTAACTATATATAGGCCCCCATCTTAAAGTTGATTACAGTCCCTGTGACTTCTAATGCAAATCTGCGGAAATATGTGAACTCCAACTGTTGATGCTGCTATGTCAGACCACGAAACCAACCCTGACGTGCCAGGAAACCCCGTAGAACTCATTATAAACCCCCAACAGGACCCTTTGAAAGACCCTTAATAGAACACTTAGACGATCCCTTTGAAGGAACTCTAAGAGAGCGGAACTGCCTCGTCCTCGCCCTTCGCAATGGCGGCGATCATGTCGGCAGCCTGTCTCAGAGACTCCAAAAGCATTGGATTTTAGGGTTTAAAGGAATGAAAGAATAATAAGGCACATGTTCTTTGAATCTGTTTTAAAGCCAGTAGTGCCTACTGAAGCTATAATGGAGGGTAGTTGGGTGTGCCAGGTAAATCAAGAGGGAAGGAAGGTACTTAAACCCGGCCAACCCTCTAAAGAACCAGGGCATCTAGCTGCATTGCCCTTCTTTTTCTTGAGCCAAATATAATCCGAAGTCGCACTTGAAACACTGCAGGGAAAACCCTCTGCAACTAGTCTCTCCATACATGCTCTGCTGGGTCTCTGGGGTCGTGTTCTTTTAACTCCCCCCTCGCCAGAGTCAACTGCAGACTACGGAACTGTACAATGGGGCGCTTAAAGCAGCCCCCTAAGCACACGGGCGCCTACGGCAGCCCCCCTAGCGGAAGAGCGCTAAAAGCAGCTCCCTCCGGCAAGCTGTGCAAAAGTGAACGTCGCTACTTGGGACTACACCCCGAAGTGGGAGAGGTGGTAGGGCCACTACCGGCTTTGGTCTTGAGTTGTCTCGTGTCTACCAGAACCTCGGGAAGCTTCTGGCGCATGCCTAACAACTTCAACGCATTATCCCACTTTTGTGGTGGAAGTGCTTTGGTGAAGATGTCGGCAGCCTGCAAGTTTGTATCGACATACTCAATGTCTACATCATCCTCATCAATCACCTCAGAGATGGAACCCAAATTGACCTTATGGGTGCGCGCTATGTGCCTAACCTTCGGCGAATAGCCCTTCTTTGCAACTAGGATCGTAGCCTGGTTGTCCTCATGAATGACTAACCTGATCGGATAGTCGAGGATGGTCTGCCAGAGCTGCAATGCCGGAAGTGCTTCTTGGAAGAGGCTATGAGCTAAAGACACAATCTCGGACTCTGTGGTACTGCGACTCACAGACGTCTGGCGCTTGGACACCCATGCAAGAGGAAAGAAGGTGTTGGGACCTTTTAGGACTAAGAAACCTCCACTGGTGGATTTGGCATCGTCCCTTTCCCCTGCAAAGTCGGCATCAACGTAGAGCGCAAGATGCAGCTCCCTTGGCCCGTCCGATACAGTGCCTACAAGGCGGTGGGTCTTAGTGGAATCGATGTAGCTTATCAGGCGAAGAAGCTTCTTATCATCGTTCCTCGACCACTTTTGCACCTTGGTCGCGAGGTCACCTATCGGCTTGACTAAGTCAGGACGCGCAAGTCTGCCTAGCCAAAGGGCCTTCATTAACACCTTACATGCATTAGGAGCAAGCTCCCCTGCGATCTCCTCTTGGCTCACAGGAAGTGAAGCCTCTGGAGCAAAGGGAGTGGCAGCATGCTTTAGAGCCTTAAGGCCAGTGAGGCCCTTGTAAAGGTCTACGGTCTGTTGCGCATAGTCAAACATATCAAACGCCATGGCACCCCTTAATGCGCCTAGGGCAGCATTCTCGGTGCCTTCAGGCTCGGCGTTGATAGTGCAATGGTTGCGACCTAAGATCCGATACACAGGCTCTGGGGGTTCTACATCAACAACCTTACACAAAGCATCCCAAAACGGCTGGTGCTCCTCCTGTGGTCCAGAGAGGGTAAGATCATCAACGTAAGTGGAAAGAAGGAGCTTAGTCTCAGGAAACCAAAAGTTACCTGGATATTCCGGCAGTTCTTGTCCACCCATATTCCTAAGAACCTCCTTAAGGTGTTTCTCCCACAGTCCGCCTGCTTCTGGGTGGCCGTACAGCGCGCGTAGAAGCAGCACTACTGGCTTTGCAAAACACTCACGCCACCAAGCAGGACGAAGTTCAGGTGGTAGCTCTATCCAAGTTTGGTACTTGGATTTAAGAAGAGCTTGCACATACGCTTTGACGGCGTCTGCGGCACTAGACTGATGGCCAGGTAAGCTACCGTAAGCTAAACAGGCATTAAGTCCCTGAACAGAGGTGGGGTTTGCACCTAACTCTCTGTAAACCGCTGCGGCGCCCTCTTCGTCCTTCGCACAGTCACCCCGGTACACGATTCGGCCTTTAACCTTCTGAAGGTGCTTGGCAAGTTCCCAAAACTTGATGGACGCAATGCTCATCAGCTTGCCGAAGTGTACCTTAGTGCCCGTGCGGCGCGCTTGCGCTTGGACGCTAGCGTATTCCTGCGGGTTCGTTTCGTCCCACACTGGAACTGCGCGAAGACCGTCTGCTTCCTGTTTCACCGCATTGAGGGCCTCAGGTGAGGAGAGCATTTCGGCCCGAGAGAGAAGTTTCGTCACCATTGCAGACACCTCCTTTGAGGGTGCTTCCTTAGGTATGCCATGGACTGCACACATAAGGGCGGAAAGGTCGACGACCTCTTCTACGAGCTTAGAAGCCTCCTGGTCGGACTCTATTACGGCGGCAAGGTCCTCGTATCCGCTGAGAGCGGAAACGTGCTTCAGTTCCTGTTCTTTTTCGCGGTGTTCAGTGGTTGTGGAAGTGGGTAAGATCGGCATCGCAGGAACCGAGATATAGGCCCTACTGGGGTTGATGGCAAAGGCGATGCGCTCACACATCTCTTGCGTGTACAACCCAGTGAGTTCAAGATCCTTTCCCCGAGCCTCGACGTGCTCACTGGGATCATGGTTGCAGGTGATCCCTTCAAAGGCTGATACGATAGATGTGGATGTTGTCATGAGGCGCCATGGTTTCTTAACCGGCTGCCCCCCTGAGGCAGACACACCTAACATACAACCATCAAAGTCAACAACCTTAAACCTAGGATCCTTAAAGAACTCCTTTACATCAGGCCTCTTCCATGAATCGGAATACCTCGGCCACTCAAACGTGACGTCAATCCCGAGGTCAAGCGCGGTCTTAGCATGCTCAACAAACTGTGCGAACAACTTCTTAGACCTGTGAATCTTTTGCAGGAGTCGTGCGCGATACTCACCGCCACCTCTCTTAAGCTGAACGCGATGCCACTGGCATCCAGAGGTGCACGGCAGAGACACCCAAAGGTGACTCTTAGGACACGCACTGAACTGTTCGTGCAGCTGGGCAGCCACAAGCTCGTTCTCAACGTCCAAAGTTTCTTTGGCGAGGCGTACGTGGGGTACTCCAAGCTCTTCGTTCACACGCCCTAACATTGAGTTTGGGGAACATGCGTACTCAAAGACAGTCGTGAGCTTAGTGGGCTTCCCTCTCCTTCGACTCCGCTTGTTACCTTTCCGTCGCGGTTTGTCCTCCCCAAAACGCGGTGTAGAGGGAGCAGCTAAACCAAACACAGGTAGGTTCTCCTTTCCACGCACAGTGTCTAGGAGACACGTGGTACTGGCAGTGCACGGTGGCAAGGCAGCGCCTGCAGAAACAACGCTCACTGTAGCGGAAGCTGGGGGTACAGGAGTACTGGGTGCAACGCTTGGAGCAGGAGTTTCAGGAGCAGCGCTTAAAAAAGGAGTCTCTGGAGCAACGCTAGGCGCGGGAGTCTCTGGTGACTCTCCCAGGGCGCGAAGCGCAGCCCTCCTTGCAGCAGCCTCTTCCTTGTCTGCTTTAACAAGTTCGGCAAAGCGTGCTCTGCAAGTGTCGGTGTGCTTTGTGGCCTTTCCCCTACACGCTAAGCAACCCGGAGTCTCCCCGAACTTAACAATCCTATCGGCGGTGATATAAACCGTCCTAACGCCAGGTGTTCTGGGCGCCGGCGGCCCGATGCTTTCAAGAGCAAAGGGAATCTCCCGCAATGGGATCTCGGGTAGTGCGCCGGAGGCAGCACTCAAGGTGGAGCCGTCTACAAGCGCCTTGCGGGTTGCATTCGCGACTGGGAAGATGGGCGGACCGTCCTCTATGTACAACTCAGGTTCTGGCACGTCGTGGACAGACGTGTTGCGTTTACCACGAAAGTCGTTGTAATCAAGAACCTTAACAACATTGCGATAGCGCATGCCTGCGTCTATCCGCCACCCTAGGAAAAGACCTGGTGACATGTTGGGTTCAAGAGTGCGCTTAGAACCTTTAGAGCGGTACCAGACGAGTTGCCCAAAACAGGCCCTCTTCCCATTGAAGGGCTCCTTTGTGAGGGCCTCCCACTGTGTGACCCCCCCTAGCGGTGCCGTCCTGTCAAAGGACAAAGAAAGGCACGCGTACGGGTACGAGTAAGAATGCATGTCGTAAGGAAGTCCACTCTGGAGGTGGATAGCACGGCAGCACTCCTTTTCCTCGCGGATATCCCTCTCGAGTAAGGCGTTGTGGGGCCATCTGTTAGGGAGAGAGGGTTCCGGGGTCAGGCCTACCTCCTCCGCCGCTACGATCAACTCGCCAGCTTCATCTAATTTAATGAGGCAGGTCGGCGACATCTCGTTTGCTCTTAGACCTATAAAATGCCGGAAGTTGCGTGCATGCTGGGCAGCACCCCTACGCGTCATAGGGTACGCAACTCTAGCCCCTGAGAAAACATCCCTTGCTACATGATGTGACTTAACCCCTCCTGTTCCTATGCCTCGGTGTTCATCACCTTTTGCCATGATGACATCATCAGTGGCAAGCTGTTGGAACGGAGCAGTGGGGACATCAATCATGTCATCTGCCTTGGCATCGGGCTTGTGAGCCACACGCATTGAGGTGGTCTTGGCGATGTGACAGATCTTACAGAAGGGATTCTTAGGGAAGTGGGTCCTAAGATGCTTCTCAGAAGTGGCTTCGGCTCTAAGTTCTTCGGTCTTGGAGTGGGGCTCTGGAGGAGGCGGCAACGGCGGTGGTTGCTCTGTGGAAGGGGCGCTCGGAGCAGCCCCCTCACGCGAACTAGAGGCGCCTGAGGCAGCCTCCTTTGCTGTTGTGCCTTCGGCAGGCTGTTGCGTACTTGCGGGCTTTCCCTTGAAGAGTTCAGGAAAAAGTTCTTCTTCGGAGCTTTCACTGGCAGCTGTCTCACCTACAGCGCCTTCACGAAAAAGCCGCTTTGCTTCAGCCTTCTTCTCTGCATGCTTCTCGACGACGTCGGCCTCCCAATCATAATCGCCAGAGGTTGTGCGGGGATAGCTTG